TTAATTTTAATTCATTATCGTAATTTTTTTTTTAATAAATTTAAAGTTTTTTTTTTTTTCCCATTTGGTTCCAACCTAAAAAAAAAAAAAAAAAAAAAGAGTAAAATCTTGGAACGTGTCTGCTTCTTTCTCCTAAATCAGGTGAAGAGAACGTACAGCCACGGTACGTACAGAGCCGGAGCGATGAGACAGATCAGTCTGGTGGGAGCCGTGGACGAAGAGGTCGGGGATTATTTCCCAGAGTTCCTCAGCTTGCTGGAGGAGTCCCCCTTCCTGGAGGTGAGGCCGCTGCAGCAGACGCGTGGCAGTGATCCAGAACAGCAGCTCAGCAGACAAATGGATTGAGCTTTGGAAAGTGACAGAGGGATTGAGACCGGCTCAAAACGATTCGAAGGTTTTTTTTTTATCTTGGACTGCATCAGAGGACATAAACCGTGTGATAGATTAAAACCCTTAAGTGGATGAGAGTTGCACTTGATTTTGTTTAATTATACACTTCTGATGAAGAATTATTCCACTTGTAACCTTGTAAAAATACTGGGAAAATGCCTTTAATAAACAGAAGTTTGTCTTATTAGGATTTAAAGTGATTGATCAACACGCAGCAGAATGAAGTGGAAGGGAAATTATTCATTGTTTTTAGCATTTGTTCATAACGATCCCCTCAGCATGATGCTGCTGCTACCATGTTTCAGCATGGAAACACTGCTTGCTTTCCCAACAGGCCAAGTGTTTTGGGATTTTCTCCACCAATCTTGTATTTTTGAAAACTAATCAAAATATTTCACATTCAGTCCTTGTAATAGAAGAGAAAACTGTTAAAAGAGCAGATGAACAGTTGAAAGATGCCTTAACAAGAACTGAAGTGATTAATCGTGATGAATTGATTATTGAAAAAAATCGTCAACTGGTTTAGTAATCAATTAATTGTTACCTGGAGAGACTCCAAAAAAAAAAAGAGGTAACTTCATGAAAGAACAACATGCTCAAACCAGATATTAAGTCAAAACCATACAAAATAAATATACATTTTGGATTTAAGATAAAAAGAAAAACACTTTTGTTTGTAAATATATTTTACCCAAAACGTGTCAAGTGGCATAGTTTTAATTTCTCTAAAGGAATGCGAAGTTATTACATTTTATTTAAAAAAAGAAAAAGGAAATGAGTTATTTGCCTGTATGCATATCATAAAGTATTTTTAATATTGTATAAATGAGACTAAAGTGGTTAATTGAGAAACATGCAGAATATGCCCATTTTTGATCGATTAATCCATTACTAAAATAATCGCTAGTTGCAGCCTTTGCATCAACCTGTCGCCTTGGTGTTTCTCATTGCTTTCTCCTGGCTGTCCAAATGCAGCGGACTCTTCCGTGGGGAACGCTTTCCAGCCTGAGAAACATGAGTCCAGCAAAGAGCGACGACGGTCCGATAATGTGGGTCAGACCAGGAGAACAGATGATACCTGTAGCCGACATACCAAAGTCTCCTTTTAAAAGAAAGCGGTGAGTCCAGCTGGAAACCCTTGCAATAATCCCGAGATGCATTGTTTTGTACCTTGTTGAGTCGACTCGCTTCTGTACTCTCCACGGCGCTTGTGAGCACTTATCAAAAAAAACAAAAAAAAACACACACACACACACATGTATATCAAACACTTACCAATTTCAAGCAGCAGCCGTGGTAACAGCGTGAAGCTTTGTTGTTGTCGAGCAGGGCTGCATGAGGCAATTACCCTCTCCGCTCGCCTGTGTCGCCGCTGCTCGCGTATCGGCGGCGTCGCGAGCAGCGCGACTTCTGCGAGCGAGACGGGCAGAAACCAGTGAGTGTTTACGTGTGCGATGTTAGCGGTGTGTGGCTCACCGCTCCGATGAGATCATCGTTGCATCAGACTCTGCTTCTCATGGCTGGGAGGCAAACAGGGGGCAACACGGACACACACACACACACACACACTGCACTCATTCTTGTTGAATCCAATTTATTTCACCTCATTTTTCAGTTTTATTTTTGTTTTTCATGGTAGCCAATTAACCGTGCTTAAAATATTGTCGGCTAATAAAGCACTGTGTTCATTATAGATGAGGCTGATATTGGCTTTGAAAACAATAACGCATTAATATCAATGCATCTCCTGTCTCTTTCCACCAAGAAAGTGTAAATGTTCATTAATTTCTATTAAGAACTGACATCCTCTCTTTTCTTGTATTTCCTCCACGGTCCCCGTCTCTTTCTCCTTTCTGTCCTTGTCCTCCTGCGACTTGCAAACATCAGCGCCATCTCTCCGTTTCCTCCACCATCTTTTTTTAATCTTCGTCCTCTTGACCTCCTCTTACTGCTTTTAAGTTGATTTATAACAGAGTTATTATGCAGGTGTTTTCAGGAACCCAGATAGTACATGCTGAAGCTCAAATATAGAAAATGTCATCGGTATGCGGTTTGTGAAAAAGAGAAGTAAAAAAAAAAAAAAAAAAAAACGGTTTAAAAAAAAAAAAAAAATTTAGAAAGGGGGGGGGGGCAGAAAAAAAACAACACGG